GAAAATCAGTGGGATACGGTGATTCCCGGTTATATATTATATCGGAAGGATAGGGGGGGAAGGGTTGGAGGTGGGGTGGCTCTGTATGTCAGAGAGGGTATAAAGTCCAGAAAGATCGAGAGGCTAAGAGAATTGGATTCGCTTCTTGAAGTTCTGTGGGTTGAAATAGGGGGGCCAAAAGGAAACTTAACACTGGGAGTTTGTTATCGCCCACCGGATCAAAAGATAGAGGAGGATTATAAAATGATGAATGAATTAAAGATAGCAGCTAGACAAAAACACTGTGTCGTAATAGGTGATTTTAACTACCCACACATTGATTGGGTCAATATGTGTTCTAGTCGAGAGAAAGAGATTGAGTTTCTAGACACTCTAAATGACTGTGCTATGGAGCAGATGGTCATGGAACCTACCAGGGGAGAGGCGATCCTTGATTTGGTCCTAAGTAACACTCAAGACCTGGTGAGAGATGTAAAAGTGATTGCACCGCTTGGGAACAGTGATCATAATGTTGTTGAGTTCAACATTTGTACAAATAGGGAATTGGCCAAAAAGACTCACACAACCACTTTTAACTTTAAAAGGGGTAATTTTTCTGATATGAGGGGACATGTGGGGAGGAAACTGAAGGGAAAAGTAGAAAGGGTCAAAACCATTGGGGAAGCTTGGAAACTGTTTAAAACTACAATTCTAGAAGCTCAAATAAAATATATTCCGCAGGTTAGGAAAGGCACAAACAGGTATAAGAAAAAGCCTACATGGTTAACAAACAAAGTAATGGAAGCTGTAAAAGGTAAAAAGGATTCCTTTAAGCGGTGGAAAGCTAGTCACAGTGAGGCTGATAAAACAGAACACAGGCTATGGCAAATAAAATGCAAGTCTGTGGTCAGGCATGCAAAAAGGGAATATGAGGAGCATATAGCAAAAAATGTAAAGACCAACAATAAAACTTTCTTCAAATACATTAGAAACAGGAAACCAGCCAGGGAGGCAGTGGGGCCCTTGGATGACCAAGGGGTAAAAGGAGTACTGAAGGATGATAGGGAAATGGCTGAGAAGCTAAATGCATTTTTTGCCTCCGTCTTCACTGTGGAAGATGAGAGGTGCTTGCCCACTCCAGAGCCGCTGAGTTCGGGAGGGGTGTTGAAAGACCTGAGTCAGATTGAGGTGACGAGAGAGGAGGTCCTAAAACTGATAAACAACTTAAAAACTGATAAATCACCAGGCCCAGATGGCATACATCCAAGAGTTCTGAAAGAACTCAATTGTGAACTTGTGGATCTCCTGACAAAAATATGTAATCTCTCCTTAAAATCAGCCTCCATTCCTGAGGACTGGAAGGTAGCTAATGTCACTCCCATCTTTAAAAAGGGTTCCAGAGGAGATCCGGGAAATTACAGGCCAGTCAGTCTGACGTCGATACCGGGTAAATTGGTGGAAACCATTATTAAGGAAAGAATTAGTAGGCACATAGATGAACAAAACCTATTGAGGCAGACTCAACATGGGTTCTGTAAGGGAAGATCTTGTCTCACTAACCTGTTAATGTTCTTTGAGGGGGTGAACAAACATGTGGACAAGGGGGATCCAATAGATATTGTTTACCTTGACTTCCAGAAAGCTTTTGATAAAGTTCCTCATCAAAGGCTCCTAAGCAAGCTCAAAAATCATGGGATAAAAGGACAAGTCCTTTTATGGATCAAAAACTGGCTAATTAATAGAAAACAGAGAGTGAGTATAAATGGGCAGTTCTCCCAGTGGAGGGGTGTAAGCAGTGGGGTACCACAGGGATCAGTACTTGGTCCACTGCTTTTTAACTTGTTCATTAATGATTTGGAGTTGGGAGTAAGCAGTGAAGTGGCTAAATTTGCGGATGATACGAAGTTGTTCAGGGTGGTGAAAACCAGTGAGGATTGTGAGGCACTCCAAAGGGATCTGTCAAAGTTGGGCGAGTGGGCGTCAACATGGCAAATGGGGTTCAATGTGGCCAAGTGCAAGGTGATGCACATTGGAGCCAAAAATCCTAACTATAAATACACGTTGATGGGGTCTGAACTGGCAGAGACAGATCAAGAGAGAGATCTTGGAGTTGTAGTAGATAACTCACTGAAAATGTCGAGACAGTGTGTGACTGCAATAAAGAAGGCCAATGCTATGCTGGGGATTATTAGGAAGGGTATTGTAAACAGATCAGCCAATATCATAATGCCGCTATATAAATCAATGGTGCGACCTCATCTGGAATACTGTGTGCAATTCTGGTCACCACACCTTAAAAAGGATATTATAGCTTTGGAAAAAGTGCAGAAAAGAGCAACTCGAATGATAAAAGGGTTGGAACACTTTCCCTATGAGGAACGGTTAAGGCGCTTAGGGCTCTTTAGCTTGGAGAAACGACGACTGAGGGGTGACATGATTGAGGTTTATAAGATTATGCATGGGAAAGAGCAGGTAGAGAAAGAGGTACTTTTCTCCCTTTCTCACAATACAAGAACCCGTGGGCACTCCATGAAATTGCTGAGCGGTCGGGTTAGAACGGATAAAAGGAAGTACTTCTTCACCCAAAGAGTGATTAACACTTGGAATTCACTGCCACAGGAAGTGGTGGCAGCTACAAGCATGGACGGCTTCAAAAGGGAATTAGATAAGCATATGGAGCAGAGGTCCATCAGTGGCTATTAGCCACAAGGTATAGATAGGGACTCTGGGGCAAGTGATGCTCTGTCATCTTGGTGCTTGGGGGGGGTCAACAGTGGGAGGGCTTCTAATGTCCTGGCCCCACTGGTGGACCTCCTGATGGCACTGGTATTTCTGGCCACTGTGGGATACAGAGTGTTGGACTGGATGGGCCTTTGGCCTGATCCAACATTGGCATCTCTTATGTTCTTATGTTCTTATGCCTGACCGACCATTGCCAAATTGGCTAGGCCCCGGCCTCCCTCAATGGACCACAGTGCTCGGAGCTCTGACATCTCTGAACACAGCAGGCAGTCTTGGGCAGTGGGCAGTGCCAGGTCTAAGTAGTCTGACCCCGCTCCCACTCAGCGCCATGATGCACTGCATCCCGATGCTTGTGTCCTGCTTCCCCCTCCTTACACAGGGGCAAATTGGCTCCTGCCCACCAACAGCAAGCCTTGAAGTGCAGTGAGTAGCCACAATGTCATGCAATGCATACATGGAGTGTTGGAAGAATAAGAAACAAGAGATTCATCAGATGTTTCAGAAATAAGGAAAGATTTTCCAATTTGTGCCTAATGTTCAGGTATTTGACATATCTTTAAGTTTGCATTTGTCCCCCTGGAAACATCTCCCTGATTTGTTTTGTCTCAGTTGCCTCAGCTTGTTTCTGGCAGACTGCAATTTTTACATCTTTGTGGCCTGAACCATGCAACATGCTAGAGTTTGTTTAGCTTTATTGTTTCATTCAGCTATTGTATCATTCAGCCATTTCCCCTAGTTCATTTGAACATTTGCTCTGAGACTACCCATGAGAATATTTCTTGTAAACACTGAGGTAAAGTTGTGTGGATGGTATAGATTTGAATCAGCTTCACTGGACTACTGAAACTCCACCATGGTTATTGACTTCATTCAGGTCCTTTAGTCATGCATGACAGCTAGACTCTGTCAATATGAAGCACCTTTAATTGAAAGAGATTTTGCAATAATAAGTGGATTTTTAAAGCATTTTTAACTTTGAACTCTTACCTTTACCATGACCAGCTAAGGGCCCCTTCTCTTGTTATGTCTGTACTGTGAGAATTGCACAAGTATGTGACTCCTTCCAGCACACTTGGGTAATATCAGAAGTCATGGGCCATGGGGGATGAACTCACCTTATATGTCTTCTCCACCCTAGTACTGCCCCATTTTCTGGGACTGGTGAGTCCAGGATGAATGACCTCTTACATGGTCCAAGACTTCTCATGTTGCCTTCACAGCATTGAAAGCAGCTATGCTTAAGGTCGTTCCTATGTGAACTTCTTAACCTTGGGTGACTGGTTTGTTTACACACTTTATATTGGGGCAGGTTTTGCAAACACAGGAGTTCTTCCTATATGCAGGTTTGTATATTTCTGCCACAGCAACTTTTGTGATCTTAGTATTGTGGGTTGCAAAACTTGCAAAATTTGTTGCAATGGAGATACGTGAGCTACCAGTTTACACATAATATTCCTTCCTAGAATACTGGCAGCTGACTGCCTGAAAGACCTACCCCAATATAATATGTGCACCAGTCCCTTGAGTGGGGCTTTGCCATATAGACTCCGTTACAATGAAAAAAACTCTTGAAGATTCTGTTATTGCCGATTTTTTAATTTCTTTCTTCTAGGGGATAATAGTAAGTAACCTTTATATTAGAGTAGAGGTATGTCTCTTCTGGGAGATTCCCCCCCCCCATTTTTTTGCTATATTCCATTTTTCTTAGGGAGCAATATTTTGACACTTTGTGTTCTGATATTATCTGAGCTTGAGAGACAATTGTATTTGTTTTCCTTCGCAGCGATGTCTGTGTTTTCCTCTCAGTGATGTTTGAAATGCCACTGCTGCCATGTTGGAGTGGTCTTTAAGCAGAGACTGTGCACAGTGGTGCATGTCTCTGCAATAAATTTCCCTAAACCTATGCTCTCCCAGCCATCTGCCTCTTTACACAGCTTCTGTAAAGTGGAGCAGCCTGCTTGTACTGCTAGATATCATTAATCCATCCTTGAGCAACACAGCAGGAGCTACATCTCCACACAGTCAGACTCGTTGTTTTAGCCTTGTTTTATGACCAAGAAGTCCCATTCAGGAATGACCCCAGCTTGCAAGCCAGGCAGATTCCTTCAGGAGTGATGGAGAAGAGTGGGAAATAAAGTAAAAGTTTTGCACTTGTCTGTTTTCCAGGTTTCAGATTCTGGTTTTAATGGCTGTCACTGCCACTCAGATTGACTGATTGGTACCTCATTGTGCAAATTTTCACTCTCTGCTTGTCTGTCTTTCTCTCTTTTTTTTTAAAGAGTAAAAAGGACCGTATGAAGGCTTGGATAAGGGCACACCTACCCACCTGGTGTAAAGAAAGAGATTCCTGGTCTGTCTACATCTTTGCTCCGCAGTCTAAGTAAGGCACCTTAGTTTGATTGATAACTGTGGCAGGCAGGGCTCCCGCATCCTCTGATCAAAGAAATATTAATAGAACTTGGCAGTCAAGAATACCTGCAGACTTTGAGTTAGGACCAAATAGCAAGGACCAAATAGGCGGTGTCAGCTAAAAGACTGGAGCTTGTGCTAACACCCAGCAACTTCCTGGACCCAGCATCTCTGAAGTCAAGCAATAAATTTTGCTGTTTCAGCTGTAAACCATAATAACAGATGATAGAAATCTCAAAATCTAAACAGTGCATACTAAAATGTAGATACTATAAGCAGGAGACCCACAAGGACTTATGAGGGGCATCTCATATATCCCACTATTTCCTTCTTTCCCTTCCTTGAAAGCCCCCATAAGCATCTACCTTTTTCTTGCTTCCTTCTCTCATTCCCACCCACCAGTCAACCTACATTTATCTTCCCTCTCCCCTCCCCCTTCAGTTTTCCCTCCTTCTTTTCCCTGGTAGCCTCTACTCAGGAAAACTATTACCCAGTTGTGGAAGTCTGCCATCAGGCCAGGCCCAGTTGCTCAATGGGGAACACTCAAGGTCTTGTGGGAGGCACCTTCAGTTACCCCTATATTCTCTTTCCCTCCTACTGACAACTCCCATATCTTCTCCCTTTTCCCTAATTCCTTCTTTCCCTCCCACCCACCAACCATTCTACTTTTTATCTGCCCCCATCTTCAGCTATATTTATTATTTATTTACCTCAGTTAAACCCTGCCTTTCTCCACCATGGGGCCTCAAAGCAGCTTATACCATTCTCCTGTCCTCCGTTTTATCCTCACTACAACCCTGTGAGGTAGGTTAGGCTGAGAATGTGTGACTGGCCCAAGGTCGCCCAGTAAGCACCTTGACAGTATTGAGATTTGAACCTGGGTCTCCCAGATCTTCGTCTGAACCTCTAACCACTACACCACCCTGGCTTTCATGGAGTGGCTGCTATTGAACAGTATTAAGCAACCAGGCCTTAATGAGTCATGAAAGTTGTGTAGTGCAAATTGTCTGTGGTTATTGCTGGGCCTGGCCCCATGAGTCTCCCTCAAATGCCAAAACAGCCCTGGAAAGGGCCCTTCTCCCTCCCCCTGTCTTTTACTGGCAGAAACCAAGGCTTCAACTGGCAATACTGTTGTGATTTCCTAGCAGCAGTCACAGAGGGCATTTGTTTCTTAGATCTACAGGCACTGCTTCTGTCATTTGGGGAGGATTAGTTCCCCAACTTTTAAAAAAGATCTTGAGTGTTTTGCAAACCTGGGTCTTTTCTTAGGTTTGTAGTAGGGTTGTCAGGTTCCTTCGTCATGCCACCGGGGGGATTTGGGGGCATTCTGGGGGTGGGCGGGAATGTCCTGCGATGTTGGGGGTGATGCTCTGCTTTTTGGGCAAAACTCTATGGTAAAAATGGCCTCAAGCCATAACGTTTTGCCCAAAAAGCAGAGTGTTGCCCCCTGATGCCACCGATGCACTGACATTACTTCCAGGTGATGTCAGAGTGTCACACATGGCATCGGGGTGGGGGGAATTTCCTCCCATTGGCCAGCTGACTGGCAGTGGGCAGGAGCCTACAAAAGCAGGGGATCTCCCTCCCCCACCTGGGGAATGGTATCCCTAGTTTGTAGAAATATGTGTCTTGTCTGTTCATGGCTTTAGTCTGTTGAATTTAAGTGTCCACAGATGGGGCCATGTGAACTAGATATCCTGATATGCAAAGATGAGTCTAGAACATTGGCATTAACCAAAACATTTTAATAGCAGCTACCGAAAACAACAAAATGTTATGTATACCTGGCTGCATTCAGAGGTCTTGATTAAGCAGAGGTCTGTTTATGAAAGAAGGGCAGAAATGGAAGGGGGCATGCAAGTATGCCAAGCCATATCTGTGCCTACTACAGTGTGTTCTTGAAGAATTCTTGGTTTCAGACGTCTTCCATCTAACTCCAATTTATTGTTACATTTGAATATGGGCACCTGGACAAATGGAAGTGTTTTTTTTCTTTCCTGTGAACCAGAATTAAACAAGGGTTTTAAGGACCTCTGTACTGTCAGAATCACCAGATATCTACAGAGGCAGAATCCAAAAGGAGAGGTGGAGGTGGGAATTCAGACTATTAGATTATTATCGTGGCCATTCTCGAAGGAGCTCAGGGCAATGTACATGACCACTTCTCCCATTTGATCTTCTCAACAATACTGTGAGGTAGGTTAGGCTGAGAGTGACTGACTAGGGTTGCCAAACACCCCCCCCCCAGTTTGGCAGGGGTTCCCCGCTTTTTGGGGGCTTCTACCCGCTGCCAACCAGCTGGCCTCCGGGGAAGCCCAAGCCCCAACACCCACCGCCACCCCCTCCCTTCTCTTTTCAGAGAGAGGGAGAGGGGTGACTGCAGGCCACACACCCAATCTCCACTCAGAGATTGGGCACATGGAAACACCAGCTTCCTGCACTTAAAGGGGCCCCTTTAACTGCAGGAAGCCAGTGTTTCCACGCGCCCAATCTCCACAAAGGTCAGGTGAGCAAGGAAACGCCAGCTCCCTGCAGTTAAAAGTACCCCTTTAACTGCAGGGAGCCAGCGTTTCCCACGTGCTTAATCTCCGTGAAAGTCGGGTGTGTGGGGAAATGCCGGTTCCCTGCAATTAAAGGGACCCCTTTAACTGCAGGGAGCCAGCACGCTGGAAGAGCGGGCGGGTGGGGTGGACGTCCCCAATGTGACATCATCACATCGGGGATGCCCAACCCCCTCCGGGAATGCCTCCCCCAAAGTCCCCCGCTGGGGGTGAAGATGGCACTTGGCAACCCTATGACTGACCCAAGGTCACAATGAGCTTAATATCAGAGTGGGGTTTTGAAGCTATGTCTCCCCTGTTGTAGTCCAGCATTCTAAACACCTAAAATGACAATGGTTCCTGATATAAATCTCCTGAACCTGAAAGTGAAGCACTAGTTTTGCCTCTCTGATTTGTATTTCACTATACAACTCCAGTTTAGATTTCCACAGACCTACCAAATGGAATGTTCATCTCTGCTGTTATGCCAAAATAATCTTGGGGCATATTTGCAGATATCACATAGAAACTGTTCTTTTTATTCTGTTTAGACTTGTGGACTTAAAAATCAGGATATTTGGGAGGAGATATAATCAGAAATGCAGAACCCCAATCCCTAAGTTAGTTAGAAAGCCTTCAACTAATATCTAATTTATTTCAATTGGCACACAATTATACAATTTTAGGATGGTAAAGGATACCAAGGTACCTTTTGAAAAAGTATGACCCTGACAATGAAAGACATTTGAGCAAGATTAATTCCTGGAAGAAGTTTGCAGGGTGAAGAATTTAGAGGCAAAAGTGTGCATCAAACAAAGTGCTGATCTGGAACTATTTGTGTTCCAGTTTTGCTCTAATGAGAAAACATGTACTAATTGCCATTCAGTTTCATGTGGGGAGAAAAGATGGTTTTCAGTGTCTGCTTTAGGAAGGAATAGCAGTCTTCATATGATTACAACAATTTTCTTTGTCTTTCCCCACTCTTTTCCCTGTAGATTTCGTCTGGTATGCAATAAAATCATCACTCATAAGATGTTTGATCATGTTGTATTGGTTATAATTTTTCTGAACTGCATCACCATTGCTATGGAACGCCCCAAAATTGAGCCACACAGTGCTGTGAGTAGCCAAATGCATCATTTCCCAGTGATATTACAACCTTGTCAACCTGTCAGGCAGAGGGTTAACCTTGGGCCTGCTGTTGGTCTTAAAGTTGGGGAGAGGGTTGTGGCTAATGTTCAGACGGTGCAAAAGGGAATAATGTATCCAAGTTAAGTTACTTTGATCTGATTCATAGGGTCCCCGTAAGTCAGAGGTGACTTGACAACACTTACCCACGCACACACAGAGATGATCCCAATCCATTGACAAGCAACAGGGCTCCTGCTTTTAAAACCATGAACTTGTTCTCCAGTCAGATTCAAACCACTGTTTTCAGCTCATTTTGCATGCACACAAAGGGAAAACTAGTTCTCACCTGGCAGATCCTGTTGCTCTCCTATCTGAATTCAGATTCTGGCTTGTATATCTGTACAATTCTGATGCATAACTGAGCTACAAATTTGCATGAATTTTGGCTGCAGCAAGGATCAAGACTCGTCTATTTACAACTGATTTTGAATTTTTGCTTAACTGCACCTGCATGTCGTTAATTTAAGCAATAAATGATCCTTTCCAAGAATGGTTGGAAAAAGGGCTTTTCCTGCTATCGCTTTGCTCTTGCCAAGCTGTCTTTCATTCTGCTCTGCTACATGCAATAGCAGCATTAATGTGCTGAAGACATCAAGACTTTCTGGGTTTTGCATCCCATTTTCCCAAAGCACAACTGGCTTGTTTTGACACAGATATGGCATGTGTCACAATTTTCTTCCCAAATAAACATTCAAACACTTTTGCTTTCTTGTTGCAACACTGGTTTTTTGGTCCTTTTTGCATCCCATTTTCCCAAAGCACAACTGGCTTGTTTTGACACAGATATGGCATGTGTCACCATTTTCTTCCCAAATAAACATTCAAACACTTTTGCTTTCTTGTTGCAACACTGGTTTTTTGGTCCTTTTCATCTGTTTAGCATTGGCATGAGGGAATAAGAGGGCGGCAAGGAACTGCTCATTTTGTACTTCTTTTTCTTTCTTTTTTCTCTTTGTTTGGATATGCACAGGGATCTTCATTCTATTTCCTAGAAACATTTGTTTTATTAGATTCACATAATAGTTTTTCAAGCCAGATTTTCATATTGACAGTCCAATACAAACCAGATAAGCACATTAATCTGCCTGTTTTACTATTTTATTTCAGTTACTTGCTGCCTGATCCTATGCATGTTTACTTGGACATAAGTCCCACTGAGTACAATGGGGCTTACATCCTGGTAAGTATGCTTAGGATTGCAGTTCCAGAGAGACAAAGGTCCTTTCCACACTAGACCTTAAATCCTGGTTCAATCCTGTTCCCGAACTTACATTCTACACTATACAGAAGTTCACCCCTGTAATTATCTCAGGGTATTTTTTGTTTACACATTACATTGAGGTAACGCTGGTTTTGCCCCACACTTGTCCTGGGATAAAAGGATGCTGTTGTAACTAGGGATAAATGCAAGGTATTTTGTCGTGTGTTGAACTTTGAAAAAACCAGGGATGAGATCCAAGTGCAGAAAGGACCAGCGAGAGGGACAAACAGTCACACAAAACTCTCAAGCCCTTTTTGGTCATTGGATTTTTGGGACTCCTACCTTGTATATCTCCTGCCAACCTAGCAGTTCGAAAACAAGAAATTGCAAGTAGATAAACAGGTACCACTTCGGTGGGAAGGTAATAGCGTTCCGTGCACCTTGGTGTTTAGTCATGCCGGCCACATGATCACGGAAACGTCTTCGGACAGCGCTGGCTCTTCGGCTTTGAAACGGAGATGAGCACCGCAATCCTAGAGTTGGATTCGACTGGCTTTCGAGCAAGGGAACCTTTACCTTTACCTTGTATATCAGGAAAATACATGACACATGATCCTTTTGATACACACAATTGCCATTTTGTGTGAATAGGACAATGTGCACATCTTCTAGCTTTGGTATGTGCAGTCTGAAACCTGGTTTTGTTGTGGATTTGTGTTTGTGTGTGCCATAGCTGGAAAATATGCACAATGCCCTATTGCGGGCTCCAGCTCTTATGTGGGAGGGGGAGTGTCAGGCCTTCAGTCAACTCACTCTCGAACACAGGCTTTCTTGAGAGAAAGTTTATTGAAGAGATTTGAGATACTGTAAAGGTGAACTTTTTGTCAGGAATGAGGGGAAGAAAGCGGGGACCAACTGATACCCACATTCCAGTCATACATCACACAGTCACAAGTATAAGCAATCCTAAGAACCCAGACAGATACCATGGTTCAACTAGCCATCCAAAGTCTTATCTTCTTCAAGGACATTCCCATGAGAATACTCCCGAGGTGCTGCTTGAGAAAATGGTTACTGCATTGCCTCCCTAAACTACAGACATTCACACTCCCTCCCTCCCACAGCTTCCCTCCCTCCCACCAGGAATGTCAGCAAGGGTGAGCAATAAGCAGGCGGCTAGATACATCTGCGGCAGCTGGGAAAGTGAGGGGGGACAGGGACGGGGTGCGGGTTACATTGAAGCAAGTTATTAACACTACAGGTGTAGATATCATAATAAGAGGTGAACCCGAGTCTGACAGGGAGGTTCTGCCAGCTGTATACAATCCACTATGGAAGAACCACACACACACAACAGGTTTGGAAAATATGTGGAGTAAATTGGTCACAACTTTATTGACTACAGCTGTAAGAAGCATTGGCATAGCATGGGCCCACCGAATCCCATGCCTCAGCTGGCCCCATGCCAGCTGATGTACCCATCACCCAGCCAGCCGGCATGGGTGCTGAACCGTGGGATGGCAGGTTGCTGAGCTCACATGGACAACTGTCTCATAGTGGTCTCCCCTGCCATCCATCGCTGGTAGTCCATGAGCAGGCTTGTTTCCATCAGTCCTCATGCCAAGACCCCCTGAGGGGCGCCCCATATCCAGGAAAATGGCACACAGGCCAATTTCCATAAGCTGATCTGGCCCCATGCTGTTACCACCAAAAGCTGTGATGAGAAATATGGCATAGAATTCATAGCATTGCACACTTTGCTAACAACATCATATTATACAGTGTTGACGCCCCCTTTCCCCCACCCCGATACCCTGTTATACATTATTGCCTTCTGACCATGTATACATAGGGTGGGATGGGTGGGCAAGCCATTCCATGGCCAGACAAAGGATGAGGGGTGGGAGACAAGCAGCTGGCCTCTTCCCCCACAATTGCCCTCCTCTGGACACCCCATCACCTTGTCATTGGTCCCAGGGGGAGGGGAAAGTACTGACTTTCCCACCACCTGGCCACCTGCCCCCACCCAGCATCTGGCTAGATCTCCTCCCCTGCCCAGCCCCACAAAATTCAGGCCGTGCTGAATCAGGCCCTTTCTGCTTCACATCAAATAGCAATTGTGTGTATTGGGAGAATGTGTAGGTAGTAAGCTGTCCCAGGCCATGAGGTAGGAAGGAACACCAAAACTGTAATAACTGAAAAGGGCTACGGTGTCATATGCAATCCTTCTACTATGTCTCTAATATTGTCCACAGCTACTTAGGCTGTACCCTTTTTACACCCTCTTCCTTAAGCTCAAGAGACCATAGTGCTTACTAAATTATTAAATCCAATCAAATTTTGTTTATTCCAAACCTTCAAGGTATTTGTATAGATTTCTGATATCTTGTTTGGGTATTAATACATTTTAAAATGACTTCCAATTCAAATTTGGCAAATGAGACAAACAGTGCTTGTTTTGGTACCCTGAAGTAATGTGAGACCGATTTCAAACAAGAGCTGTGCCATGGTCGCACCTCCCTTTGCCCCACTTCTATTGGTCAGTTTCCCACTCGAAGCCGCATGGCCGCGTTTTGACCCGCAGCTTCGCTCAATTTTCCCCATGGTTTTGTGATCCTGGGTTTTTTTTTGTTTTTTTTTTAATATTTTTTATTCAACTTTTATAATAACATGCAACATCAAAAGTATGCAGAAATGATCAAAATAGAACAAAAAAACCCCAAGCATTACACAATAAGATGAATTAGTCTTAAGTGATCCTGTTTTTTGAGGAGCATGAAACTACGGGGAAAATCGGGCAAAGCCGCGGGTCAAAATGCGGCCGCCCGGCTTCGAGTGGGAAATTGACCAACAGAAGCAGGGCACAGGGAGGTGCAACCGCGGCGCAGCTCTTGTGTGAAATCGGTACGAATGTGGAATGATAGTTGTAGCTATGATGGTTTAAATTCAAAGTACAACATTTGGGATTTGTGCATTCATATCTAATACCAGTTGCACCAGTGTCATGTAGCAACAAGGTTGGGTATAAACTAGTAGATTTTATTGTTATGAATGTTTGTCCAACAGGGCTCAGACAATAGGCACCAACCAAACAATCATGGCCTTCATTTTAGTGTATCTGAAGAAGTGAGCAGTGACTCATGAAAGCTCATACCCTACCACAAATTTTGCTAATCCTTAAGGTGCTACTGGACTCTTACTTTTTTCTACTGCTACAGACAGACTAACATGGCTACCCACCTTGGTCGACCTTCATTTTAGGTTTTCTTACACAAGTCACATCCAGAAAACTACAGCACTGTACATTGTTTGAGGATGTGGGACCCCATCCTCACAATCATTGGCTTAAAAAATGGTGCTGTAATAAGGGAGGCTGCGTTTGTTGGTAAATAGATAAGAATAAGATAGGAACCTACAAGGACTCACAGGGGCCCCTTCATTTCCCCCTGTATCTACATTATCCACAAACTATTTCCTCTTTCTCCCCTCCTGACAGCCCCCGTATCTTCTTCCCTTTCCCTCCTTCCTTCTCTCCTTTCCACTCAGCAACCAACCTTTCTTTATTTCCTCTACCCCATCTTCAGCTTTATTTATTATTTATTTACTTCATTTATAACCCATGCAAACAGAAACCAGTTTACATTATTCTCCTCACTTTTCATTTTATCCTCACAACAACCGTGTGAGGTAGATTAGGCTGAGAGAGGGTGCCTAGACCAAAGTCACC